CACAGTGCTTGATTGCCGCACGCACCTTCCCCAACCACAGACTCTTGCTCTCCACCCATCTAGGACTTGCAAGGTGACGTTGCCCTGCAAATAGGTCCTCAGCACTCAGCCCCTTAACACCTAGTTCAAGCAAAAGTCTGTAGGTCTGCAAAGCGGCAGACAACCTTCGCCTCCTCCCAAACGCCCTCACTCTAGCTGGGATGAGGGGCTGCTTCAGTGTGGTCGTTCCTCTTCTGGTTGCTACCGAAGTCCTGGTGGAGCTCCAGACAGGACCCCCACCACGACGTGCTGCTCCCCACGACTTGTGGTCCTGGCAGTTGGCTAGTTAGTCCTCTTGCCTGCTCGTCATCACGTTCCTCTTCTGGTTGCTACCGAAGTCCTGGTGGAGCTCCAGTCAGGACCCCCACCACGACGTGCTGCTCCCCACGACTTGTGGTCCTGGCAGTTGGCTAGTTAGTCCTCTTGCCTGCTCGTCATCACTATCAAACCGTTTGCTTATCGTCTTTCCTCCTCCGCACTCTGCTTAGCATTTGCTTTTCTCAGCTGAGGGCCTGGGTGGGGCGAGGCTGCCTGTGGACGTGGTCTTTGAAAATGCCAGGGTGCAGCTCAATAATCTCAAGCTGTCTTGGAGTCAGGGAAATGGGGTGAGAAGCGTTTCTGCCTGGCTGCAGCTGCTTTTCCCAACCCCCGTTTCACTCCCTCACATGCCGAAATGAAAAGTCCTGCTAGTGTTTCACGCTGCTACACTTTAAAACTGAAAGCTTGATTAACTTTGTTTTTATGAGATGAGGGTCCCTTTATTAAAAAAAAAAAAAAGAATCTTCATTTTTCTTAAAAATGCAAACTCTTAGGGGTTAAAGAGACTCAGATTTGACTTCTCCCCTTTTCTTCAAGAATCCTATTTTATTCAGACTTCAGATCTACAGCTTCTAGTTCTTTATTTTTAGTCGTCAGGTTTCTTAGTTGAAGCAATCTCCTTTTGATGCCTTGAGAGGTTTGGATTAAGGGCAAGTGACTCCTGGAAAATCAGACCGACGGTATTAGATCCTGCGAAGGAGAAATGTCCAGACCTGCCTCTTAGGCTCCACCTCTCTTGTCCACTGAATTACTACATAGCAACAGAAGAGTTTTTGGTTTGCCATTAACTACGTTTCAGGGCATGCCCAGGAAAATTCCCATATTCGAACTTGTCGCATTAATTAAAAGGGCTGCACATCTTGCAATGTAGTATTCCTAAAATTGCCAGTACGATGAAATATCAAATTTGGGGGTGACACCAAATTCACAGTTAGAATACACGGAACTACACATGCCAGTTGCACACCTATTTTGAAATTGGAGTGTAAGCGTATTCATAACCGAAAAGGGTTCAAGGTGCGAAGGCAAGAACCGACTTCGCAGCACACGTCCTTGCCCTTCCTTACACCTGGCGCCGCAAGCGGGTCCCGAACCTGCGACATCGCGGTCTGAAACGCTCCGTTTGCAGTCCGGTTCGCTACGCTTCGCCTCGAGCAGCCGCTAGGTGCCGCTAAAGCGGCATCTTTTTCAACCCCGGGGTCTCCGCCCATCCTGCAGGGCTGCCTAGGAGCTCCCCGGCGCCCTCGGGATTGACACACTCAGCCCCCAATAGGCAGCGCCGAGAGGGCGGGCTCTGGGCGGAGTTCTCTGTGTTCTCAAGGGGCGAATCAGGGCCAAGCCGCCGCCCGCCGCGTTGCTGATAGGGCGGCTCTCCCACAAGGGGGCGAGACACAAACAGCGCGAAGGGCGGGACTTCGCACAGGGGAGGCCCTACCGCTTGGAGTGACGGCGGCGAGGCGTCCCACAAACGGGGAAGGACGATTGACGTTGCCCGGAGCCAACGACGGCGCGGCAGCTGTGGAAGCAGAGACCAATGGAGGGGCGCAAGGGCGGGGCCTCTCCCCAGAGGCGGCAGTTGAGGCGGGGCGGCGCGCAGGTAAGTGGCTGTT